CACACACACACACACACACACACACACACACACACACACACACACACACACACACACACACACACACACACACACACACACACACACACACACACACACACACACAGACACACACAGACACACAGACACACACACACACACACACACACACACACACACACACACACAGACACACACACACACACACACACACACACACACACACACACACACACACACACACACACACACACACACACACACACACACACACACACACACACACACACTCACGCGCGCGCACGTGCACGCGGAAATGGACACCTACTTGCACGCGTAGACGGAGACGCACACGCACACGCACGCGCAGACGAACACGCGCGCACACACACACACTCTTTTGACGAGTGTCATTTCAGCCATTGACGCCTTACCCGCTTGGTAGATTTGTTCCTGTGGCTGCTAAGGTGCGCTTCCGGGGCAATGACAGCGTCAATGAGATGCACGAGGGGGAAGGAGTTGGTCAGGCACGTGGTGGGCTGCTAAACAGCCTTTTCCACAGCCGGCGGTGGACATAGTTTTAACACACTTTCCCACTGTCCAGTGCGGAAGCAAAGATTTCGCTGCCAGGCGAGTTCTACTGTTCGAAAACGAGTGCCTACGAGGTTTGTCGCTGAAAAGGAGCCTTGCCTTGATCAGCTCAACAAACAGCTTGGAGGACTCGGCCAGTTCTTTCTAAGGTGAAGGAAGAAGAGGAGGAAGACCATCACGGAGGTGTGAGTTTTGCAGACGAAGTTTCGGAGCCCGGCACCCATTGAAGCCACAGCCGCAAGATGAGCCAATATCTCGAAATTCCCAGGTCTGAGGATTCAGCTGAGGACGCGAGTCCTCCAAATTTACGCCGTCCTGGCCTGCTTGGTGCGTGCCCTTGGGTCCTTGGGCAAATTGGGCAGATGGGCATGCAGTGGCAAAGACATGCACGATTGGCGCTTGGCAGGACCGTCCCGTGCGCGGGCAACGCTCCCAGAGCTGTGATGCCTTGGCTTGACCCATCTTCGGGGTCTAACTCGAGCCTGCTGCCCAATGTCAGGTCCCAACAGCTTTCGAGAAAGCACACGTGGTGCTGCCATGGTTCTTACAGTTTCGATGCCCAGGCTACGGCCATCTCATGGTTAGCATCCCCCCCCCTTAACATGCAAGCAAGGGAGGGGGCCTCCATTTGGTGAGAGTTGGGTGGATTCGTGACCCGCATGGCATTGTTGACTCTAGCCCAGAGCGTTGGCCGTGATTTGGCTGGAATCATGTGAGCCACAATCAAAACCCGGGTAGATGAAGGTTAGTAAGGGACAATCCCACCCAGAAATAGTTGCGGCCGCCTTCTTAATTCTTTACATGGTTCTGGGTAGACCATTTTGATGCCGGGTTTTGATTATGACTCATGTTACTTTGCAGCTCCGACTTTCACGCAAAGTGCTTGGAAAGCAGCAACTAAGGCTCAAACACAATCTTTTTACAGCCAGAAGTGGAGCTGTTCCTAGTGCTTGCATACAAAGGTGTTTTAGGCTTCCGATGCTTGAGTTGTCAAGGAGTTTTGGACATGCCGGTGGATGTGTTGAGTGGTTTGCTGTTGCGCTGCGGCAGTACTTGATTCGAAAGGCTGCGTGCGCAATGTAGATTGATCCGGTTGACCCAGCATGGCTTGCAAGTCCGCAGAGTGATGGCCGCGGGCCTAGCCTTTGCGGTTCCGGCTTTCCAAGCATCGCGGTGCTTGGGCGGTCAGTAAAGCCTGGTAACATAACTAAGCCTGGAACAGCTTGGATCCGCAGATAGCTGGAGCAGAAGGCATGTCGAGTCAATTTGAGGGCTTGCCGCTGCACCGAGGCTGCACCGAAGCGGCAGCCTTGAGGATTTGCTGTGTGCAGACTTGGCAAGTTCATGTATAAGCATGTTCATTTTCGTTGAGAGGCAAACCAATGCTCCAAACGGTAAGAGAGAGAGAGAGAGAGCGAGAGACCGAGAGACCGAGAGACAGAGAGAGGGAGAGTGCCCCAAGCGATGGTGGCAAACGATTTGTATTTACTAAAACAAGATGACCCAGCCGAACAGAACACATTCCACACAAGCAGCGCGGCACGAAGCATGGCCTTTGTTTATGGCCTTTGTTTCATGTGTTCTCTTCAATGTGGAAGGGGCCAACCATGGTTGCTGACATGTGCCTGGTGTTTTCTTAGTTGGTTGGGCTTTTGTAACTTATGTCTTTAAGAGTTGGTTTGGACTGCTGGATTGGCTGGCTGCCTGGTTGGTTGCTTGGTTGATTGGTTGGTTCAGTCGCTTGGTTAGGCGGAACATCCCCAGCATCACCTGGACCCGCTTTTCACCTGATTCAGCCAAACTGGCTGGAAGTAGCTCCCTAAACCAACCCGAAGCCCACCCGAATTCAATGTCAGCCAAACGCGATCACTGCGCACATCCGAATTCCTGACCAAGCTCCAGCCAAGCGACTGAGGCTAGTTTCTAGTTTGCTCCACATGCTGCGCAGCACGCCAGCTTGGATGGATCAGCAAAAAACTGTTGTTGGTGACGCTGCCAGCCCAGGAAAAGGCAACAGCCCCGGAGCAAGACAAACGACCATCTGCCTGGCGACGCACCGCACCGTATGTACTCACTGCTGCCTCGACCAAGAAACACCTTCAACCGTTGATACTTGCTGAATCCCCCGCTCGACCCTTTCAGCCGGGGCGCGAGCAGGGGGGAAAAATCCCGAATCCCGCCCGCTTCAAGAAAAAGACAGCCGAACTGATAGCCCGACGCCCCACACTTATGTACCTTGAGCATCATGTAGCCCAAACGGCGTCACTGGCATGTGAAACGACGTGCAAGCATGTCACGCTCGCGCGCTCCGTGTTTGTGTTTGCGTTTGTGTTTGTTCGTTTGTTCCTTCGTTCGTTTGTTCCTTCGTTTGTTTGTTTGTTCGTTTGCTTGATTGTTTGTTTGTTTGTTTGTTTGTGCGCGGGTGCACCCGTTCCTTTGCGTTTGCATTTGTGTTTGCATCTGCGTTTGCATCTGCGTTTGCGTGCTGTTTCTTCGCGCGCGTTTAAGAACTTGTAAGATTTACAGCGCCTGCAAGGGCAGGTGCTTGCGCAGAACGCGAATTGCCAGCGCCTGTTCATGTCGGTAGTTTAAGGGTTTTGGCTGCAAGGGCCCTTGGAGAGTAACAAAGGCCTTGTTGGACAGAAGTGGGCTTCGGAGGTGGTAGTGTCTGCAGGGTTTACGTGCCTATGCCTATGTTGCACTGCCTATGCCACGAGTGACTCCGGCAGCCCGACATCGTGGCCGTGAGGTGTTCTTTCAAGTAAGGCCCCACTCAAAGTAGCATCATGTAGCAAGCATCATCACAGCTTCAAGTCGCTGACATCCAGCGAGACTCGATGCCACGTGTCTGGTATAGCAGGCATACCACTCGGCCAAGTTTAGGGCCGTGACTTGAGGCCGGCTCCTCGCGTAGTGCGTGCGCCTGACTTGAAGCCGGAGACTTGTGTGTTGCAAGCGCACAGTCTTCGGCCCTCTGGCTCGGGCTCGTAAGCCGAGGGCCGTTTTGAACCTACAGTTCAAGTCGAAGAAGCGGTTGGAAGGAAGAATCAGGCCAGGCTACCGGATACCGTGCAACGTACAGCACTTTGGTCTCCAGTGTTGCAGGTGGTTCGACAAAGAGAAGGGCTTTGGCAAGATCCTGCAGGAAGCACAGCCAGCACATGAGGCCACCGGTACGCTATCGGGCTGTGTGTCGGGCCATCAGACGGCACTGGAGAAACTATATCCTAGCCATGAGTACTGCATGTGGGTATTGCATGTTGCTGAGGCCGCTGGAGGCCCGCTCGCTGGAGACCGAGGCAAGAGCCGGCTGTGTGCCGGCTTCCCATGAGAGTGCCAGCCAACCACTGCGCACAGATTTGCACTTTAGCCGCTTTAGCCTTTCTCGAGTCACATGTCGCAGGAGATCTTTGTGCATAGAAACCAGATTGAAGATGGCCTGTGTCCCAGCAATCGCCAGCCAGCCGTTGCATGCAAATTTGCATGTTGGTTAAGAGGGATTGGATGGCAATGCAGGGTCAGTCGTGCCCAACTTTTTTCGAAGGTCCTGACAGTGACAACTATGCTGCGCTTGCTCCTGGTGTCTAGCTCTCAGAAGGCTTGTTGGAGGTTGGGTCAAACAGTTGGACTAGCCGAGGCGCTGGTCTCATATGAGATGACCACGCAAGAGGATGGGACTTTCGGCTTTAACTTTCATGCTAGAAGAGGTGCTGCATTTGTCGGATGCCTTCAGTCCTTCTTGAGCATCTCAGGAAGCCATGTGCTGGCAACGTCCGGGTGCAGGGTTTTGCCAAGGTTCTTCAGGATGGTCTGGCCATCGCCGCAGGACGGTTGGCGTTGCAAGGGCGCAGGTGCCCCGCGCCAGGGGTCCGCAAGGGCTCTTGCAAGGAGCAGCGCTGTCTGCCAGAGAGGCAAAGCTGCGGCAATTGCTTCTGCAGGGCCTTCAGACAGGTCAGGTTCGCTTCGGCAAAAAGCCACGCGATGCCATTGCGATGGGCAGGCGTGTTTCAGGAGAAGGGCCACAAGAAGGCCGTGTGATTTTTTGCTATGGTGTTTCGCTGTCAAGGTGTGGGGGTGGCTGCGATCTCATGCGGTGCGGGCCAAGATTATCATAACTTGCCACTGGAATTGGGTGGTGCATGAAAGGGCTGCTTCATTCCCGTGTTTCTGGGCCTGGTGGATTCAGGGCGCACGGGTTGCTCTGCTTTCGGCAGGCTCTCATGGAGGATGGCCTTTTGCAGGGTGCCCCTCGAGAAGTCGGCTCGTCGGCGTCCCAAGTGAGACAGGTACAGCTGTTGCTTGCCTGACTTGGTGTCAGCGCACCCCGTGCGGTCAGTGTCATGGCTTGCAGTACTCTTGGCCCCCTCCAGATGTACAAAGACTCCAGTGTAGCCTGGGTCTAGCCGCGCCGCCGTCGTTCTCATGGCCGCATGTGGCAAACATGGGCTGTGCCACGGACGATCAGGAGCATCAACAAAGAGGCTTCGATTGAGAGTCTTCATTGGCTTGGTCCCACGAGCTTCTCATCCGACTGGCTTAGACAGTGAAAATTAGGGCAGACCGGACACCCCCATGAGTTGTGCAGAACCGAGCATTTTGCTTGGTATGGTTGCTAGGGCCACGCCATGAGTGAGAAATATATTGTTTTCTCACGTAGGCAACGTCTGTCCTTTGATGCTGTGCAGCCTGCTGCACTTGTAGACCACCTTTTGCAACTTGTGTCAGGTGGCAGCATGGAATTCGGCTATGTCGCTATTGGCAAAAACTTCGCAGTGGCAAGGAGCGCTGGCACTGTTTGAGCGGCATCAGTGCAGAGATGGCGTCAGCTGTAACGTGGCCATCAGAGACTCGGAAGAGCTTTCATTTGTGCTGTGATATCTTCTTGGAGGGCCATTGTTTTAAGGATTCTTTTCGTTTTTTGTTTCTTTTTCAAAGGATATTGTTGTTTTTCAGGGTGGGTGGCTTTTGTGTTTTTTTTTTGTTTGCTTTTGTGGCTTTTACGTGGGTTTATGTGGCATTTCATTTCGCATCCTCTGCATTTCGTGCGGCCTTTTATTGGGTTCATGCGGCTTTTGCGGCTTTGGCTTTTCGCATCCTCTGCATTACCGGTTCTGCTCCGGCAGGTGGCTTTTGGCGGCTTTCTGGCTTTGGCTTTTCGCATCCTCTGCTTTCCCAGTTGGTTTTTGCTTCCTGCGTCCTCAACATCGCCAGTTCCTCTCTGGTGCCCCCCGCCACCCCCCTTTTGATTAAAATGCGCCCCTAATTGACTCACGATCATCATGCAACAGCTACTTTTTTAGATTCTTTGCCCTTAATTAAATCATCACTTTTTTTTTTATCATGGGGGGGGTCTGCCGCCCCCCCCAACCCCCACCTACTTTTTAGATTCTTTGGGCCCGCTACTTTTTAGATGTTTTGCGTCTAATTGAATCATCACTTTTGCGATCATCATGAGGGGCTGCCGCACCCCCCCCCCGAACCCCTCGCTACTTTTTGGACTTTTGGCAGAGATTGAATTCTCATTGAATCATCACTTTTTCAAGGCTGCCCCCGACCTTCCCCGTAAATGCCTACCTACCTTGCCGGAGAGGAACTGATGATGCTGACGATGTAGGAAGGCCCTTGACTTGCTGGTGATGCTGGGGATGTTGGCCGGACATGCGGGGGATGTTGAAACCGATGCTGATGAGGTTGGCGGGCTGGTGTAAAATACGTACATTTCGTGAGAAAATGCTGTAAATACAGCATTTTACGGAAAAACAACATAATAATAAATCTCAGCCCTATCTTCTTTCTCGAATGATTTTGTTCATGGTGGACTGGGAGAGGGCCATCCTCGAGGTAAGGTGCATGCAGCTCGGGAACTCATTGGCAAGGCGCCCTCTCGCTGCTGCGCGTTCGGGATTTGCGAGCTGACTTGATCGGATTCAGCTCTGCCATTACTGCCTGCACTAAAGCAAGACAACTTGAGCGTGCACTCAGCCTGTTCCAGCAGACCCAGCAGCTGCGCTTGGGTACAGATGTTGTGTTGCTTGGGTCGCTCTTGAGCACCTGCGAGCGCATGGAGAAGTGGCGCTTCGCTTTGCACCTGGTAAATTGCCATTCCAGGCAGCTCAGCCTGGTGTGCTACAACTCTGCCATGGCCACCTTTGAGAAGACCTCTCGATGGAATTTGGCGTTGCGACTTCTACAGGTGCTGCAGCAGCGGCAGCTTGTAGATGCGTTGACGTTCAATTCAGCTGCAGAGGCCTGCCGGCGCAAATCTGCTTGGAGGGGGGCTTTGCGGCTTCTGTTGCAGATGGCGGATTTCGGATTGATGGCCAGCTGTAGGCTGCAAGCCATTCAGATGGATGCTGCATCCTCCGCTCAAGCATGGGCTGCGCTCGGCTGCGGCATGGCCAGCTTGGCCAGTCTCGGATCCCAGCTGCCTTCACGTCCACCCGGAGTTCAGCCAGGCCAAGACCCAGATGAAGGCAAGTTACATCGACTGTCTGATGCAGCCTGCCGACTGGACGCAGCTGGCTGCTTCCCAAGCGGCTTGGAACGCCTCCTTTGCCGCACCTTGCTGCAGCCGGCGGTTTCCCAGGCGCGTGGCCAGGCGTTTGGTTCGACAGGCCAGCTGAGCCTGGCAGGCCTTGGCGGCCGGGAACGGAACGCCCTTGAGAGTCTGGCAGTCAGGCCCGGTGTCATTCACTGACCGTGCTCGGTGGGTGGTGAAGAAGGAAGATGACCAGCAGAGGCACTGAACAGCCGACAAAGGGGCTCCAGCCTGCGCCAAAGTGCAGTCAGGTGTGAGAACCCATTTTAGAGTGACCCAAGCCTGGCGAGTTCTGACGGGATTTAATGCCAGCCTTGTAGCATTTTGGTGCAGCCAAGCAAAGCCAGGGCGCACCGCTTAAGTTCATGGGGCCAAAAAAGCCATCGGGGAAAAGCTGCGCTTGTAACATCAGCCTTGCCGAGGGGCAGGATGCATGGGCGGGGGGGGGGGGGGCACAATTTGTTCAATCCAGGCCCGGCATTTTAGCCTGTATTTGCCCAGGTTGGGCTCATCAGGAAAGCCTGCCGTGGTCGTCTTAGTCTTCCAGTCTTGCTTCGCAGCCTTTGCCAGTTTGCTTTTCATTGCTTAAATGGGAATAGATAATAGATAATAGTCGCAAGCGATGATCTCGCAAGACTAACGGCTAGGCCATGGTCCTCTTCGCAGTGATGGATGGCCACGCAGGAGTTTCCTGCAGCAACTTTGTTAACACCTCAGCGAGAGGCGCAGAAGCGTGGCTTCTGTGTAGAAGTGTGAAAGTATAGCCGACTGTGTCGCTGCAAGCCAAGCTCACTTGGAAACACTCATTGTCCTGCAATGTGAGGTTGCCCTGAACTTGGAGCGCAATATCCTGGACTCACTTCGTGACCAGCCTGGTGCTTGTTTGCTGGAGTGCAGGGTGTTTCCCGTCCCGCTTGTAGATGTATTGTGGGGCGGATTACTTCCTAGCAAGCTTCAGGCGCAAGCGCGTGCTGAGCTCAGCGCCAAAAACATGTCGGGCACACTTGTCACTTGCGAGCTGTGCTCATAGCCCATGACCTTCAGGCATTGAGCCCCACAGCTTAGGATGCCAATGCCGAGCAGATACTCAAATCTGCTTTGCTTGCGGGCTTCAAAGTCACGGAGCATACCTTTCAGCAGCAGCTCGCCCTGGAAATGCTGGTCCGATGTAGTTGCCTCCTATTCCTGCTGATATGTTTCAATGACCTCAGGTATGCCAACAAGCTAGAAGGTGGTGCAAGCAGTAGCCTCAAGCAGTGAAGGAGCTGCATGCTTTTTGTTTTCAAGCATGCTTCGTGCTTCCAAGGCCGTGCCTGGGCCACCTCCGGAAGCACTTGCTGCGCGGCTTGCCTGGCTGGACCAGACGAGGAGGGCAGGCTCCGGCTGATCATCGCAAACGCCGTGGCCTTACACCTGCGAGCTGGCTGCCAATGTCAACATCTGGGTCAGAATTAAACCAGGGCACTGCAGGTGTTAGTTTTTGTTTCCATTTACCAGGGTTCCATGTTTGGTACCTATTTTTGACCCCCACCCTTCTGTGGCCCAAGATTGAAGTGCGTGCGAGGTGGGAGACAGTCGGGCAGTCCTGGGCAAGAAGGTGGGAGCAGGCCACGCACACTCAGCGCGCTGAGCGGCGCAAAGGATGGCTTTGCCGTCCGCCTCTCGGTGGACCATAGGCCCGACAATGCCGCAGAGCGCAGGCGCGCTTAGATACTGGAAAGCACAATCTGAAGCCTTTCGGGACTAGCTAGTTGGATTAGTGAGCTTTGGAACTGCTTTCATAAACCACAGGCAGGTAGGGATGGGAGGGAGGAGGGAGGGAGGGAGTGAGGGAGGCAGGGAGGCAGGGAGGCAGGGAGGCAGGGAGGCAGGGAGGCAGGGAGGCAGGGAGGCAGGGAGGCAGCGGAGGCAGGGGAGGAAGGAGAGGAAGGGGAGGAAGGGGAGGAAGGGGAGGAAGGGGAGGAAGGGGAGGAAGGGGAGGAAGGGGAGGGAAGGGGAGGGAAGGGGAGGAAGGGGAGGAAGGGGAGGAAGGGGAGGGAGGGGAGGCAGGGACAGGGAGGCAGGGGAGGAAGGGGAGGAAGGAGAGGAAGGGGAGGTAGGGGAGGAAGGGGAGGAAGGGGAGGCAGGGGAGGACGGGGAGGGAGGGGAGGAGGAAGGGGAGGAGGAAGGGGAGGAGGAGGGGAGGAGGCAGGGGAGGAGGAAGGGGAGGAAGGGGAGGAAGCGGAGGAAGAGAGGAAGGGGAGGGAGGGAGGGAAGGGAGGGAAGGGAGGGAAGGGGAGGGAAGGGGGAGGAGGTGAGGAAGGGGAGGAAGGGGAGGAAGGGAGGAAGGGAAGGGGAGGGAGGAAAGGGGAGGAAGGGGAGGAGGGGAGGAGAGGGAGGGAGGGGAGGGAGGTAGGGGAGGGAGGGGAGGGAGGGGAGGGGGGGGAGGGAGGGGAGGGAGGGGAGGGGAGGGAGGGGAAGGGAAGGGGAGGGAAGGGAATAGGAGGGAAGGGGAGGGAAGGGAATAGGAGGGAAGGGAAGGGGAGGGAGGGGAGGGAGCAAGAACGCAAAAACAGAGTGAGACAATAAAGCAATATGGCAAGCAAGCAAGATGAAGAAGAAAAAGGCACGTAAAGACAGGATAACACTAAAACAGCAAAGAAACGAGAAGAAACGAAAAGAGAGCGAGAGATCGCAGGCGTGTGGAGCACCAGGGTGGCACTGTGGCGGCTTTTGGAGGAGCTCATAGGGCAGAGGACCCAGCGTAATGAATTCAACATCCAAATGTCACGTTTCTTGTTGGTGCTCAGCAGGGAATGCGGGAATGAACCCAGGGATTCCCTTAAAGGAAGCCACAGGGACGGTTTATCGGGGTCATTCCCTCCTTCACTACTGAGCACCAGCAAGGTTTCGCTTGAGGAATCGCGCGCTGTGGATGAATTGGGGCAACTGCAGCGGTTGCTGCTCAAAGCAACCAAACAGTACTCTTAGTTTGATTTCTGCATCAATCCTTAGGTCCTTACATGGCCACGCCACGCTCTCTCGTGCTGTGGTTGGCGTTGTGGCCCCTAGTGGCTGCCATCCGTGATGATCATGTCGTGCAAAGCAAGCTCGCGGAAGAGGCAGTGATCATCACGGGACGACACAGGGCAATGACAAGGTCATTGACAGTCCCCGCCAGCGTTGACATTGCCATTCGGAAAGCCAAAGGCAGTGTAGCTTCGCACTTGAAGAAAGTGGAGCTGCAGAAGGCGGACGCGGAGGCGAAGCAGAAGGCTTTGGAGGAGGCCGAAGCAAAGAAGCAGCAGCAGCTCGAGGCTGTGGCTCGCAAGAACACGGAGTACTCCGATCGGGCGCACGCCGCTCGTGAGGCCTTCAAAGCGCTTGAGGAGGCCATCTCAGCTCACGGGGAGCGCAGCGCGGACTTCGAGAAGGCCTTGGCTTCCTGGGACGCGTTGAGTGCAGAAGTGGAGAACCTCACCTCTGGCGTTGAGGCCGCGGAGGTCAAAATGGCCCGAGAGATTGAAGCCATAAAGCAAGCCATGCAGGCCGTGCAAGACAACCTCGACAGCAAAAAGCGTAGTCTGCAGGAAGCCGAGGCATTGATGCAAAAGAAGAAGGCGGAAGCACAGGAGGCAGGTGAGTTCAAAACCAACAAGGAGAATGAAGAGCAGAAGGCCACTGTCGAAATGCATGCTGCGCAATCTGCCTTGGACAATCATCAGGCCATGCTGGAAGAAGCTGTGGCTGCGCTCGAATCATCCTCCGCAGCGGCTGCCGAGGCAGCTGCCGAGCACAAAGTCGTGAAAGAGGCGCACGACAAGGAGAAGCAGAGCCTGGAGATTCTGATGAGAATCAAGAAGGCCATTACGGACTTCTACGGCAAGCTAGACTCAGTGACCGACAGCGTGGAACAAGCTGCGGAAGAGCGGCCCGATGTGGATCCCGCCGACCTCCTGAAGAAGGATCAGCACCTGAAGCCTGCCTTCGAAAGCTACAATGCAGTTGCGAGGGCATTTCATGAGCTTTACTCCTTTGACGCCAACCTGTATGGAAAGATCAGGCCTTCGGTGAAGCAGATCAAGGAGAATGCGTGGCAGGCAATTCTCCTTCAGTGCGACCCAGGCGAGGACAAGGAGCGCAAGGCAGAGGCGACCCAGGATTTCGCCGAGCTTCAGGAGCAGTGCGGCGCTGGCCTGTGGAAGTCGGTGCAGCTCCAGCGCTTGGCATTCCCAGCCTACGAAGGCTCAGAAGAAGTTGTTGACGAGTGGTGGGATAAGCACATCGAGGCGGGTGACATTCCGGTTGAGGAGCCAAAACAATTGGCCAAGACCATCGAGCCGGAGCCGGAGACGGCGAGCGTGACATCCAAGACATCTTCAGAGTCGGTCAGCCTGACAACTTCCGAGGACTGGGTTAGCTAATTGACAAAAGGGGGCTTGGATCTTGCTGTTTACTTTGCACTTGCATGGGGGCAACTTTCCACCCACTGATGAGTTGTTCAAAACGCAGCCCTGCAACGGAGGAGGCAAGCACAACTGAAGAGTCTGTGAGCGCCACATCATCCTCTCCAATGGCAATTGTCACCAATGCCCCTGCAGGCACAACGACTGAGGCTCAGCAAGACAAAATCATGGATGATTTGGAGTCACTGGAAGTTGACTCGTCAGAAGCAGCCACACACAGCCCGACAACTCCCCAGCCAGCCGCAAGCACAACTGAAGAGTCTGCGAGCGCCACATCAGCCTCTCCAATGGCAATTGTCACCAATGCCCCTGCAGGCACAACGACTGAGGCTCAGCAAGACAAAATCATGGATGATTTGGAGTCACTGGAAGTAGACTCGTCAGAAGCAGCCACACACAGCCCGACAACTCCCCAGCCAGCCGCAAGCACAACTGAAGAGTCTGCGAGCGCCACATCAGCCTCTCCAATGGCAATTGTCACCAATGCCCCTGCAGGCACAACGACTGAGGCTCAGCAAGACAAAATCATGGATGATTTGGAGTCACTGGAAGTAGACTCGTCAGAAGCAGCCACACACAGCCCGACAACTCCCCAGCCAGCCGCAAGCACAACTGAAGAGTCTGCGAGCGCCACATCAGCCTCTCCAATGGCAATTGTCACCAATGCCCCTGCAGGCACAACGACTGAGGCTCAGCAAGACAAAATCATGGATGATTTGGAGTCACTGGAAGTAGACTCGTCAGAAGCAGCCACACACAGCCCGACAACTCCCCAGCCAGCCGCAAGCACAACTGAAGAGTCTGCGAGCGCCACATCAGCCTCTCCAATGGCAAATGTCACCAATGCCCCTGCAGGCACAACGACTGAGGCTCAGCAAAACAAAATCATGGATGATTTGGAGTCACTGGAAGCAGACTCGTCACAAGCAGCGACACACAGCCCGACAACTCCCCAGCCAGCCGCAAGCACAACTGAAGAGTCTGCGAGCGCCACATCAGCCTCTCCAATGGCAAATGTCACCAATTCCCCTGCAGGCACAACGACTGAGGCTCAGAAAGACAAAATCATGGATGATTTGGAGTCACTGGAAGCAGACTCGTCAGAAGCAGCGACACACAGCCCGACAACTCCCCAGCCAGCTGCAAGCACAACTGAAGAGTCTGCGAGCGCCACATCAGCCTCTCCAATGGCAAATGTCACCGCCCCTGCAGGCACAACGACTGAGGCTCAGCAAGACAAAATCATGGATGATTTGGAGTCACTGGAAGTAGACTCGTCAGAAGCAGCCACACACAGCCCGACAACTCCCCAGCCAGCCGCAAGCACAACTGAAGAGTCTGCGAGCGCCACATCAGCCTCTCCAATGGCAAATGTCACCAATGCCCCTGCAGGCACAACGACTGAGGCTCAGCAAGACAAAGTCATGGATGATTTGGAGTCATTGGAAGCAGACTCGTCACAAGCAGCGACACACAGCCCGACAACTCCCCAGCCAGCCGCAAGCACAACTGAAGAGTCTGCGAGCGCCACAGCAGCCGCTCCAATGGCAAATGTCACCAATGCCCCTGCAGGCACAACGACTGAGGCTCAGCAAGACAAAATCATGGATGATTTGGAGTCACTGGAAGCAGACTCGTCAGAAGCAGCCACACATAGCCCGACAACCCCCCAGCCAGCCGCAAGCACAACTGAAGAGTCTGCGAACGCCACATCAGCCTCTCCAATGGCAAATGTCACCAATGCCACGGAGCTGCCCGTTCCCCCTTCAAACTCCACGGAGACCGTATCCACTGGAGAGTCACATTAGCCTGCAAGACTCGGAGACGTTAGATCCATTGATGGACAAGCAGAAGTGAGTGACACATGACACATGCTTTGTGTCACAGTAGTGAGCTTGGACGGCTAGCTGCGTGTGCAGCGTCGAGGCAACAGGAGCAAAGGTTCCTTGATCACAGGAAGGCGTGCTCGTGCTGTTTAAATGCCGCCCATTGCGACATGGAAGCAATTCCAACAATCCACCCACTTCGCATACTTTGTACTGCGCTCACTGGAGCTTGAGGTGATCCTGAAGGCGAGAGGGCAGGTGGCAGCTGGCCTTTCGGTCACCCGATCGTTCGGAGCCAGCGCCTTGGGGAGCTAAGCGGGGCTCGCTGCCTATGCCTCACCGGTGCCCACCTTTGAGGACGTGGATTTCAAGTCTCCGGAAGTCGTCACAGCTGTGCTTGGGCCTTGGGCCCTCATGTTCTGCATTATTGACTCTTGCGGTCAACATGCTCGTGGATGTTTTCGCCTTGCACGAAACCTGTCAGAACACTGCCGCGTGATACAGGCAAACGAGAGTAAGCCTTAGGCGAGTGCTCGTGCAAGCCAGGCCAGAGTTGTCGGCATTCGCCATTGACCCTGAGGCCTTAGTGCCTGGCTTTGCTAGTGTTATTTTGTCTTGCAGACATGTCAGGAAGATGCAGCTTGGCTGCAAGCGTCCTGGTCGCTGGCAAGATGCTTTGGGACCACAGCTATCGCATGCTATCGCTCTCACATCGATGCTGCTGCGATTGTGTTTCTTTCTCGCCGATTGGGGAAACATGTCATGAAAACATGTCATCAAAACATGTCGGGAAATATGTCGTGGAAACAGGTGATGTTGATCTTGGCTTCCGATGGCATCCATGGCAGCGTCTCGGATGTTGAGGCGCTATGCAACTCCACAATTACATTTCATGAGGCAATGTTTTGGACGAGTGTCGACTGACAGCGTGATGCACCGAACGGCCTCTGTGGAGGCCGTTCGCCTGGCCTCAGCGCAGCTCCGGGAGGGTGGCGCCAATGCCGCAGAGAAGGCCAGCCTTTCAGCGCATGACGCTTGCAAATGCCAGAGCGAGATGTCAATGTCAGAAGCAGAGGCATGCTGAAGTAGCGCGCTTATTCCTTGCACCTTTCGCCAGAAGCTATGTAGGCAGCACGCGTGCTGGTGGAGACGGCTCACGAGCGGGATCCTGCAGACGTGCGTGCCTGAGGTGTCCCAACTGTCGCGATCGCCAAAAAGCTAAGGACAAGACGGCTTTGGTGATTTGGTTTGGTGAGCGCCCAGCCTGCTGCACAGCTTGTGTTTCAGCTTGGCGGCTGGTTGCCTTTGGCCATGAGGACAATGTCAGTGCGAGCATTGCCACTGCACCTGGGGAAGAGGACAAAAGGGACAAACCAAGAGGCATAGGTTTGGAACGTTCCGGGCGCATGGCGACTTGAAACTCAGTGAAATGCACGCAGACAGATCATAAAGCGTTGCTTCATTTCGCATCAGGACCTCTTCGTCTCCGATACGCCAGCAGAGAGTGTGGAGCCTGATCAGGTCGGGATTTGACGATGTGTCCAATACCAAGCCAGAAAATGCAGGTGCCAGTTGAGTCGGTGCCTGCGGAGGATATGTTTGCCGTGCCTTGGCCCAACTAGGAGGTGCTACTGCAAGCGTGAATGCTAATAAGGTCTCAGAAGCGCACGAGATATGACAAAAACACTGGAGCGGCATTTTGTTCGCTGCGCCCACGCCCTGCTTTGGACCCTCCAAATGGCACACTGCGCAACAGCACTCTGAGCAACATGGCATTTCAACATGTTCATCAGAAGGAATAGATGGTGCTAGGCCTTGTTTGCAATGCAAGGCTCCTTGCGACTTCCAGTCTTTGACTTGCAACATGTTGCGTGCGCCCATGCAAGAAGAGACCCTCGCAAGAGACTGCGTTGGGCAAATCGCGAAATTGTGCTGCAGAAGAGGTGGTTGATCATTTCAGTGGCAGAGGTGGTTCAATTGCCGACCCATGTTTGCGCGCTTCTCTGTGTGGCAATGGCTCAAGCGCCTCAGCCTCTTCGGTATGGCTGGCTGTGATAAAAATGGCACTCCTCATCACCCGCAAGTCAAGCAAACTCTGCGAAAGGCTCTGCAACCAGGAAACGGCGGTCACAGCCACCAAGACCTCCAATGCAACCTTACCGACTCAACGGTTTGTAGCTGTAGTCATTGTATGTCATTGTAGTCCATGGTGGCTTCCGGCTCCTTCCCTTCTTCCCTTCTGGGCCCAGCTGACACCCAGCACGCTTGCAAACACAAGGCATCCAGAACTTCAGCGTGCGAGTTGCGGCAAGGGCACCGAGCCTGAGCAACTTGCGGGTAGCCCGTCTCCCAGCTCCGCACCTAGGTCCACGTAATGACCTGGTCTTTAGGTGAAGGGGGGGACGGGAAGGACTGCAAGGGCATGGCACGCGGGCCCAACAGGCTCAACCGACCGGATAGGCCCCAAATGGGCTCCACAAGTCAACGGCAAAACTACAACGGTTGCGCAAAACGTTTGGCATTGAGTGCCTAAAGTGCTTCAAGATTCGCATGTCTCCTCCCAATTCGGAATGAGACCTGCAAAAACAACATGTCATAAAACATATTGGAACAAGATCGTCGTCGTGGCTTTACTCTCATCGCTTCCCTGGTCACACCCACACCCTGAACCAGCATCTTCCAACAGCACGCTGCGCAACAACCAACACCCCAGCAACTCCCAGCTCACACACACACACACCCTGGAACTGCACTCGCCAGCACCAACTCAGCGTCACATACTGCGAAACAGCATCCCGCAACAGCACCCTTCAAAGCACCCTGACGAAATTCTGCGTGACACTCCGCGCCAGCACTTCAACAGTACCCTATGCCCCCGCACCCTGCCGTAGCATTTTGCGTCACACACACACACCTTTTCAACTTCGAGTTTGGACTTCTTTAGTTTTTTTTTGGTCCGCATACCTGGGGAAAAAGAGTGGCAGCCCAACAGCCCTGAAGCCCTCGTGCCATGAGTCAGGATGGCGCAGACCCCATGGAGATGGCGCTGCTGGATGACATCTTCGGCCAGAACCCATGTGTGACCTTCAGGCTGTGCTTTTTCTTTTGCCAAGGCGCCTATGCTCGTGAGATGGGTGTCGGGGGCTTTTGCATTGGGGGAACCCTGGCAGTGGCAGCCTGACAGGTTGACGTGGAAGAGTCGGGCACCAGCCAGGCCCAAGTCAAGAGAAAGGCGACGGAAGAGGCAGGTGAATCTTCTGGACCCCGCACGTTACTTTGGGCTTATTGGAGGCTTGAGTTGGCATTTGCTTGACTGCACGAATCCTTTCCGTGTAGGGCAAGCAGCCTCAAAAGCGAAAGAATAGCTCAAAGGCTGGGTGCTACTCCTTACTTGCACATTGGCGCGTTGATCATGTTCTTTGACAGTTTGGCTCCCAGTCTCTTGTTGGCATGTGCTTTCTGTGTCTTGGCTGCAGGCTGCCAAGAAAGTCTTCTGATCAGCCATCATCCGGGAATGTTCACCAGGGCTGTCGAATGCCACAGTTTGCAGCGCAATGCGTTGCTGAACAAAGCTCCAAATAACTCGAGCTTTGTGTGCTATGGCTGGCTGGCTGGCTGGCTGGCGTTGGAATGCATTCTGGCTTGGACTTCGATACGGCTGCCTCAAGGATTCCAAGGCGAGACTTCCCAACTGAGGGGAGATGTGTGGCGCAAAAAGTAAGCCGTTGCAGACGACACCGGCGCTCTAAGCTACTACTGATTTGCGTGGCTCTCATAGGCAAAAATTGGCAAGGCGGCCCCTTCCATGCCAGGTGCCCATTGAGGATGATGGGCCGTAGCCCCAGGAAACTTCCGGCGAGGGAAGAAATCTGTCCGATTGGCCGCATGGTTTGGCCAGGACAGTTTCACGTTAGACCTGAGATGTGAAAGACACTGAGGTCTTTGACCCGAGAAGAGCTTCTGGAGTTGAACAAGCAGCCTGACCAAAGACCTGCTGGAAGCTCAGCTCTTCCATCGGAATCGCAGCCTGAGACGCGAGTTGAAAGAACGGAGGACGGTACCCTGGTCAGTCGACGTTCGCTCGGACTCATGCCAAGGCCAGACCTCGCCTGCCAACGGCATTTACGCAGACGGGCGTAGCCCCGGCGGAGTCCTCAGAATTTGAAAAGTCTCTTGGCCTCAAAGGGGAGCTCCTTGACCATGCCGAGGCGGATGCAAAGACGGACTCAGAAAGTCCACGCACACAGGCCCGAGCGAATGCATGACGGTGCAGTGCCAGTCCCGCGTTGCGGCCGCCATTGGCCTGAACGACCGTGACTGTATTATCCTCACTGCAGGAGATGATTACCAGCATGCCAGAGAAGCTGAAGGACGGGCAGATGTGGAATTTGCTGCATGCATCAGCTTGCCCACACAGAGGCAGATTGTGCTACAGGAAATGGTGGAATCTCCACGTGAAGAAGTGGTTCTTCAACAGTACCGGCAGCCAGAAGGAACAAAGGCCATGGCGTTTTGAGAGAGGGAAGCACTTGTTTGTTGGCTACATGATTTGCACAGTTGCAATCGTGCCGGCCAGGATCAGGCATTTGCGCAAGGAATTTTGAGGTGCCTGCACCTGTCCATGCCCCCATGCACCCTGGCTTTGGGTCAACATATTGAGAGAACTAGTGCAGCTGGTGCAGCGTGCATTTGACCCCTGAGGCGTGATAGAGCGCTCAGTGACATGCACAAGCATGATCCCGTCCTGGCTCAATGACAGACACCTGGCAGACAAATTCTGGGACATATGATGGTTCATCTGTTTGTTGGTGTGTCACATGGCAGAACCCACATACCCACTTCAGTTTCAATATGTTTGAAGAAGCTTCTACCGTCTAGGCGTGTTTTCTCTGCCAAGTGTGAGGGGAGGGTCCGCCATGGACGCCGCGCCGCGCTTTCCTCGGCATGTGGAGCTGCCGCAGCCAGTGCCACGCGGTCTGTTGCAGACACCGCCGCTGACAATGCGGGCCGAAGAGCAAATCTTTGGCACCGCATGCCTCCGACTGGTGGGCGCGGCAATCTGCATTGGGCCAAGAGGTAGTCGTGTCAGGGTTCGCCAGCAACTTCGAAGACGACATCAGCCAGTTGAGGCTGGCAAGCTAGATTTGATGTCTGAAGCTTGGTGAGGCAGATTGAAGCTTTGCGGCAATCCCGCACCAGGTGGAGGATATGTTGACAAAGGCTGCCCACTCGCTCGGGGTGCAGAAGTTGAAGCCATATCAGCGTGCAGTGGTTGAGGCCATTGTGGCTGGCAAGGAGCCTCACCCAAATGAAGCAGGGATTCTTCCGAGATGTTCTGTGATGGTTGGTGTAGGATTGTGCAGGGCCTGCCTCTCACGTGTCTTCTTCAATTGCATGGGTCGATAAACCGGTGGGCGGATTGGACGGATGGATGGATGGATGGATGGATGGATGGATGGATGGATGGATGGATGGATGGATGGCTGGCTGGCTGGCTGGCTGGCTGGCTGGCTGGGTGGGTGGATGGGTGGATGGGTGGATGGGTGGATGGCTGGCTGGCTGGCTGGCTGGCTGGCTTGGCTGGCTGGGTGGCTGGGTGGCTGGGTGGGTGGATGGGTGGATGGGTGGATGGATGGATGGATGGATGGATGGATGGATGGATGGATAGATGAACAGATAGGAAGGCAGATAGGAAGGCAGATAGGAAGGCAGATAGAAAGGCAGATAGATGGACAGACAGATGAATGATAGATGCTTGCCACCAGAGCCACAACATGAGGCTAGAGTCCAGGCGCCCCTTTCCATCACTTGAGCAACTGTGTAGCATGCCATTGGCGGCATGCCTCCGGCTCTTTCCAAAGTCCGAGCGAAGCGAGCATCACAAAGAAGCCGGGTCTAGGATCTTCAACCCGCGCAAAGCGCACAGAAGATGTTAGTCCACAGAAAGGGTCGTTTGCGAAGGCTATGAAGCAGTGGGGCTTGACTCTAAGCCCTCTCCAAGCCAGGCTGGTTGACAAGGGTGGGCTCACAGTGCAGCATATATCCACACCGTGTTCCCTTTCTCGCAAGTTTTAGCTTGGCATCATGCTTAAACTGCAATTGTGCAGATGCTGAGGACTGCTGTGTCCTCAGAGCCACCGGCAGCGGGAAGTCGCTTTGTTTCCTGCTTCCAGCAATCTTGACTGGAAAGATTGTCATCGTGGCCCGCGGCTGAGCCAGACAGCATGCCAGCCAGCCGGAGCACTGCTATTGGTCTCCGAGGTGAGCCCCCTTGTGGCACTCATGAAAGACCAAGTGTCGCAGCTGAACAAAGCTGCCCAGGAATCAGGCCGCAATCGTTTTCTCTACGCAAGCCATGTGTTCAAGCAGCTGAGTTGCAGGTCTGCAATTGAAGGCATGCTTCCTGGGCTCAGGCCAGGCATGTGCCAAGTGCAGCCTCGTGGGCTCAGGCAGCTAAAACTCAAATAGTTCTGGTTCCCCAGTTGGATCACCCTAGCAGCACCCAGCGGCTAGTGGCACCCGAATTTCAGGCCCAAGCAAAATTCTCACTCACGACATTATTTTGGCGCAGCCGAGCGGAGAGAGATTTTGCTAGAGGCCATCAGGACTTGCAAGAAAGATGGAACATGGATGAAGCTGCCATACAAGGAGTGCCTTGTTCTTTGCCAACGTTGCCGTTTTTTGTGAAGAATCTCAACAGGAAAGTACAACGTGGTCTACTTGACCCCGGAGAAGCTCATTGATAGCAGCAACCTGCTGCGACGGCTTCGGTGCGCTCCCTTGAATTTGCATTGGCAAGTCATTGGCGTTTGCGTTAGGCCGCTGTACGCTGACGGACGCCTCGGCTTGCTTGCAGTTGATGAGGCAGGGCAAACAAGAAGGCGGATAAGAGATGACAAGAGGGTATGTTGGTTCTGGATAAAGTGAGAGCAGGGTGAGTAGTTCTAAGCAGTGAAGAGGGCTGTTGGTAAACTCTTGGAGTCCATCCTCATACCCCGACCGAGCCCCGGAAGGCACATTGCGTGTCCGAGTGGGGTGGGGAATTCAGGCAGGGCCAGCACGTTGTGCAAATGGTCGCTCTCTCGTGCATTGGGTCCCGCTATGCCATGTATGGCGTTGGTGTGATTTGGTTCTTTCAGCGCAGCTTCCGCATTTGACAGGCCGAGCTATCGAGATCTCGGCTTTTTCCGTGAGGATTACCCAAAAGTGCCCATCATGGCGAGCGAGCCTCGGTTTGCCGTTGCGTGCCCACAGCGCCACACGCGCAAATGTCAAACCTGAGGTTGACAGCCATCAAAACTCGGGCAGTCCAGGAGCTGACGCTTGCACCCTACCTGGCCAAACGTTGCCACCCTGCAGGAGGATATCCATGAATTCTTGCGGCTTCGGCAGCCGAAGGCCTGCGTGATGTTTGGAATGGCTGTCCAGAGCAGCCAATTGCAGGAGTCGGTTGGGTCCGCCTATCGCTCGAACCTTTTCCTCAAGCGTTCCCTTCCACAAAAAGATGATTTGGATCGAATCGCAGCGCCTGGTCTGCACGATGCGGGCCCCCGCACATCGTTCAAGATTCGCGGACCGCTGGCATTGGGCCCAGGAAGAAATACGGCGGGTAAGTGGCCTCCTCAGCTTTTGCACTGGTCAGTGTGAAGCTGAAACGTGGCGGGCAATAGCCAAGTGCTTTAGCCCCTACTGCATGTTGCTGGAAGAATCCATGCTGCCCAGCGGAGATGGCCCGAAAATCCCGGACATTGTCACAAGGCCAGACCAAAATGGGCATGTTTGCAATCACAATCATGGGATGTACTGCACGCAGAGGGCTGGCTGCATCCAGCAAGCCCATGCATGTGCAACTGAATGCGTGCGCGCACTTGCGCCAGCATGCAGCCTGACTCACAGAGACGCAGAGACGGTTTGGCATGGACGTTCCGAACCTGCCAGAAGCAAGCACATGCCTGCGCAACGAGAGTGCTCGGGTGGCCCACGTCCACTGAGGTGGGCGAGTGATCATTTATGTAAAGCGGCGCGATGCTACTTGGCTGTTTGTTTTGAATTTGTGTCTCTGTGATGCATGGGTCGTTGCCATTCTGCTTCTTGAAGTGCTAGGGCGCTGTGCCTCTTCAGAAAGAGCGTGAAATAAGTCAGCCATCTATGGCCTTTTCCAATGGAGTGCTCCTGACGCTTTGACTTTATGTACCACCTACCTAAGCAGACATATCAGGCAGACGTGTTGTTCAGAACGTTCCACGTTCCTTGAAATTATGGGTTTCAGATTCTCAGGCAGCTTGACCAAGGAGACTAAGGCCCGAACAATGTTAGCATGTGATCGTATCGGGCAATTCGTTGAGTGCGAATGACGTCCCAATGACAGCTCAAAAGCCGAGAGTGGGAGAAGCAACCTGAGACGCTGGGAATATGGAACCCGAGAAGCAGTAGCGATCGGAAACTTAGCATGAAGTGCGCGCACCGGGCTACTTGGAAGGGGGCTGGATGCTCCTCATCGACCCTGTTTGCACACATGACATCCTGCCACGTCCGTTTTGCAGAAAGAAGGTTGTAATAGCCACACCGAACAGGGTTGCCAGAAAACGCTTGCCTTGGACTTCCTTCCTTCCTGCCTGCCTGCCTGCC